TCCTCCCCATCCAAAGTTGGGGTGATCTTTCCATCCCGGATTATAAGTGTTGGAGTAAGGGTTCCTCTGTTGTCGGTTGGTGTCATTCACGTAATTTAGAGACTTCGTTTCTTCTAAGCACCGGTCGGGACCTTGGACTGCACGGACTTGCTGAGTCTGCAAAGCTGCTACTTGCCTTGATAGCTTTTCTAACTGGGCGGTGATTGCGGTGACCCCGTCTAACTCTAAAATTCTTCCCGTCTTATTGGCTCCGCTATTTGACCAGTCTGATGCCCGCATGTATTTGTTCCTTGCGATCCACTCCAAAAGTTCGTAAGCTTCGTCATATGTCAAGCTCATGTACATACCGCCAGCTGCTGAATCGAGCACCGTTCTCGAATTATCTTGCAATCCATCATAAAATATTTGAAGTTGCCGCCACTCTTGAAGACCGTGATTCGGGCATCTCCGAATAAGTTGTTTGAACCGCTCCCACGTCTCGAATAATGCTTCACCTGCTTCTTGTATGAAGTTTTTTATTTCTCTCCGGATTCTCTCAGTTTTTGTTGGGGAGTTATATGTGTTCATGAAGAGTTGTGCTAGCTGGGGCCAAGACGAGATGGAGTGCGGTGCACGAGTTTGTAACCACTCTCGGGCTGCTCCTTGTAAAGAGTGCTTGAACAGGCGGAGTTGCAGTGCTTCAGGAGATACGCCGTTCATCTTATGTGAATCAAACGTTTCGAGAAAATTGACCAAGTGGAGATGCGGATCTTCATGAGCTAATCCGCTGAACAACCCATTGTTTTGGAGCATAGTAAGGAGTCCCCCTCGAATTTCGAAATTATTGGCTTCAATGGGGGGCTGCTGGATGCTCGATTGAAACCCATTTAGTGTTGGAACAGTGTACTCATGCAATGCTCGTTGGCGAGGTGGTGGATTAATGAGTTGCTGTTGCTCTTGCTCGTTGACGATATTTCCTGCCGCATTCGGTAGGCGCCCTTGGTCATCTCCCCTACGATTATTCTCTTCCTCCATTGTTGCGGGAACGTTTCGAGCTAACCGTTGATTTCTCCTAGCGTGCTTAAACGTTCGCTCAATTTCGGGATCCAAAGGTAGCAAGCTCGTGTCGTGCCCTCTTCGCATAAAAAGTACCTAAAAAAATAATAAAAATAAAATAAGCAAATAAAATAAATAAAACGGCTGAAGTAAGAAAAAATGCTCAAATTTAATATTAGAATAAATAGATAATTTAGCCGTATTCCGCGGCAACGGCGCCAAAAACTTGTTGGGTGCTAAATACCTAACACGCAAGTGCACGTATCGCAAACAAGTAGTAAAAGTGGACTCATGAGAGTCGGATGTCGATCCCACAGGGAATACTCAAATTATCTAATCCTAAGTACCAAATTCTAACAATTATGATTTTTATCCAGCCTACGCAAAGTTGTCAAATTTAATCAACTAAATAATTAAACTAATTATGAAAGGAATTCAACACGAGAAAATATCAATAAAAACGGACCTAGGATTTTATCTTCCCCCTATGCAAGAATTGCTCACCCAAAACCCCTCAATTATGAAATATATGATTCATGATTATTAACCCGAGACACTAATTTACTCATAACCTGCTGCCGCGTGTATTATGAGTCTATTATTCATAAACGGTTCACTATATGTCTATGTAAACAAATTATGAATAAAGCATTAACTAACAAGTCTTGTAAATGGCTACCTAAGGTGATATCTGTATGTCTACGACACCACATGCAATTGACACACTCATCCGGTGAAAACTACTCGAAGGTGCTTATACTTACCGTCTAATTATCAAAATAGCTCTGTCGAGTCAATCCCAATAATCACAGATAAAGCACATAAATTGATCAAGTTCATGCACTAACAATCATAACAAGTAGAAGAAATAATCATAAAATCATAATTGCATAATCTCAAGAAAATGGGTTCACCATCCCCACATAGGGTTCCAACAAAATCCTAGATTAAAAACTTAGCTACTCATGTTCTCTACGAAAAACATAATAAAAATATAAAAAGACATAGATTAAGAAAAGATAGATAAAAGAAGAACTGTGATGAAGATTTGTCAATTCTCAGTCTTCGATTCTTCGTTCTCTCGCTCCAAGGTTGTGTCAAAAGTTCTTTTAATTCGTGCTTGGTTTGCCCTTAAATAGATGTCCCAACTTGGTAGGTGATTCTAGGTTTCCCTGTGTGATTAAAAGTCCAAAATTGTCTCCAGCGTGTGTTGGCGCGGCCGCGCGACAATCAGTCAAAATCTCACACGGCCGCACGAGAATCGCCGAAACCTTCTGCCCAATTAAAACTAGGATTGCTAAGGTTATCAGGTAGCATAAGCAGTCAACTGGCCTTGTCGGGAATTCATTCATTTTTGCCTTATTGGAGCTATTAGTTATAAGCATATATTTGTTGGGGAAGAAGATATGTATTGATTGTTTGGGTATATTTGTAAAATTTCAATTTTATATATTTTATAGAGTAAATTGCAAAAACTTTCCCTCTGTAATCCCCAATTGCTAAAAAAAGTCCCTGTGTAATCCCCAATTGCTAAAAACTTAACCGCATGTGTCAAAAATGAAAGGAAAAATGAAAGCACAAGCTAGGGAGTAATCTGCGAAAAAATTGTTTTCTTATTGTCGGACGATGATCAGTTTAGAGATGCCACTTCCCACAAGGTAATACATAATAACCCTGAGTCTTTCAACTTACCTTAATTTGTGTTATAATTCTCTATTTATCAGTTCTTGCATCTTCCGTTTCTTCATTATATTTTTTCACTTTTTTCTTATAATTTGTGGGCACAAGAAGATAGCAGTAGTTGCAAAAGCTTAAAGACGGCCAATAGAGGAAAAAAAAAATATTGCAGCAAATATTGGTTAGTTTTGGACAAGGAAAACATAATAAGCTTTCTCAAACTTCTAATTTGTATAAAGATTCATTGTAAGGCCAACTCCAACATTTATTTAAAAACTCGTTGTCTATATCTATAATTTAAGAGACGAACATTGTTATACATCGCCACTTGTAACCTCACCCTCCAACAACATTGTTTATATTTTACACAATTATCATATTTTATTTATTTAGAAAATTTTAGTTTCAATTACATTAAACAACTATATTTCAACAAGCAAATTTTTTAACAACCGTATTATAACGACCATTTAAAAAATTATTTGAAATAATAATATTATTAATAAAAAAACCTATATATATATATATATATATATATATATATATATATATATATATGTATATATAATATGTTGAAAGGGATAGGTAGCGGTAGATTTATTATTGTTTTATCTTTACACCATTTGTTAAATGGTAACATTGATTTTTCAAATTTGAGAAACCAAAATTAAAATTGAATAAGTTTTACAATTTTCCATTTTGTTGTTGGAGCTCTATTTTTGGGTTGAAATTGTGTAAAAAATGCAAAAAATAGATTTGCACATCCCTCTTGGAGTTGCTCTAAGATGTATATTGTATGATTTTAAGATATAATATTTTTTGTATTTCATGATCATTTAATTATATATGACTTGGTATTGAATATATTTCACGTATGTAATTATATATTTTAGGTTTATTGCTAGAAATAACTTTTGTAGTATATAAATTCTAGTATTTGCTACAAATAAAAGTTGTAGTATAAAAAATATATTTTTGACTACGGAAGGTGGTTGTAGCAAAAGGTAGGGTTTGGATGCATAGGACAACCTTTTTGCTACAGAATATGCCGTACCAAATAGTCATGTATTTGTAACAAATCAATGGTCGTAGTAAATGCTAGTTGTGCCGTAGTAAAAAAATATTTGCTACGATAATTTTTGTAGCAAATTTTTTGTCACGCTCGTATTTACTATGGAGAAAATCCGTAGCAAAAACTCTTTTACTACAAGAAGTGGACTATTTGCTACGAATTTGAGTGGTAGCAAAAAACTTTTTTTCTACTAGTGAAGGGAGTAATCTGCAAAAAAATTGCTTTGACGTTTGATACTGGCGATTAAATTTAACGGAAAAATTAATGAAAACTACCCCATAAACCACGAGGGGGTTATATGCTGATATTAAAAACATCAGTGAGTCATATACAATAGCTTGTAACCACAGGAGGTTAAGTGCTATTTACCTTTTTATATTACAAGGACCTTTTTAGCAATTGAGGATTACCCTAGGGCTGTGTTTGCAATTTACTCATATTTTATATATACGACATAGCCAGTGTTGACACTGGGGAATACGATGCTACACCCGGTGATTTTCACCGGGTAACTCTCTTATTGACATGTGTCCTTTTTAATTTATTTTATAATTATTTTTCTAAAACCCAATGGACCATAACTAAGCCGGTAATAGGAATTTTATCAATTATGATGCCTGGTTAAAATCGCCGGGTGTAGCATCGATATTGCCTGTTGACACTTGACATTATTGTAATATTCGTAAATAATTAATTAATTGTTATATGAATTCTATATTCTACAGTACACTAACTATATCAAAAATATTTTTAATTACCAAAAGTTACATTGACATTAATTAGTCAATTGTCTACGACAATTCATGTTTACACGTCTCTGAACTTCAAACATATTACAAATATATATATTTCTAGTGCCCTAAACGAAACTCTACTGGTTGAAGTAAGTGAGTCTGTGTTAGTTGACTCAAATTTAAATTCCCTTGTTATGGAACTTCTGACAGATGGTTAGTTTAGTGTGATTTACATTTCTAAAATGATGCAAACTATTACTATTATACGAGAGTATAGGTTTATCCAGTCATTAAAGAGAGCAAACAATTTCAATATATTTTGTTGTCACACGCATATGATCATATATAGAAAACAAAGAAATAATAACAAAAATTCAAAAGCAGAAACATTCCCACACAACTAAAAGGCTCAGAAACAGTACATAAATTCCTACACCACGATGAGAAGCAGCCGAGTTGAGCCTAATATCCTTTCTCTTCACCTTGAGACCCGTTCCATCAACCTCCACGTCAGCACCAATCCTAACATCCTTTTTCTTGGAATACGTCCCAAACTGTCTCTTAAACTTGGGCCGCGCCGCCAGGTCAACCCTAAAAACCACCTTTGACCCATTCAAAACCGCCTTCACAGCATCCTCCCACGGCACTCCTTGGCTCTCCACAACTTCCCGCCGGTAGTCCACCTCCCACCACCATTGGTCAAAGCTCCGGACTACGTAATTCGCAACGGCGTTGTTATTTCTGCCGTAGGAGAAGGTGAGGTTAACATCTCCGTAGCGCACAATGCGCTCGTATTCGATGTTTAGGAAAGCGAGATCGAAGAAGAGACAAGGGTTAGTAATTATGGTATTATTAATAAAATTGCTTTTATTATTATTATTTGAAGTTGTGGGTAATTGGGAGAGATCGAGGGCGGGAACATAGAATTCTTTTACGTAAAAGCGTGGGCCTCGGTGGATGTTGGCCATTAGGTATAGGGTTACGGAAATGGAAAGTGTAACTGCAAGGATAATAAGGGTGCATAAGCAGAAACCTGCAAATGTATTCATTGTTATTGTTGTGCTGTAAGGAAGAATCCGTGGAGAAGAAGACTATATATATATATATATATATATATATATATATATATATATATATATATATATATATATATATATATATATATATATATATATATATATATATATATATATATATATATATATATATATATATATATATATATATATATATATATATATATATATATATATATATATATATATATATATATATATATATATATATATATATATATATATATATATATATATATATATATATATATATATATATATATATATATATATATATATATATATATATATATATTAGACTAGGAAAAGGAAAGAGAGAAAAAAAAAATTTATTTTGATGTCTAATCATCATGCTGTGCTGACGGACATATTGGATCCGCTCACTCAAACAACGGACATGCAAGTAATAATAAAGGGTGGTAAGAAAGTTGTTAATGGGAGTACGTTGAAACCTTCACAAGTTTCTACCCACCCTACTGTTCATATTGGAGGGGATGACTTGCGTCACTTTTACACTCTTGTAAGTTGTACGTGTGTATATATATATATATATA